AATAGAATAGAATAGAATAGAATAGAATAGAATAGAATAGAATAGAATAGAATAGAATTCTTTATTGGGATTGGACACACAAGGAATTTGTCTTGGTGAATATGCTCTCAGTGTACATAAAAGAAAAGATATTCATCAAGAGTCAAGAATCATAAGGTACAACACTTAATAATAGTCATAGGGTACAATAAGCAATCAAATCATACTAGGAAACAGTCAATATAAATCGTAAGATTACAAGCGACAAAGTTACAGTCATACAGTCACAAGTGGGAGGGGACGGGTGATAAGGAGTGATGAGAAGGTTAATAGTAATAGTAATGCAGACTTTGTAAATAGTTGGACAGTGCTGAGGGAATTATTTGTTTAGCAGAGTGATGGTGTTTGGGGGAAAATTATCCTTGTGTCTAGTTGTTCTGGTGTGCAGTGCTCTATAGCATCATTTTGAGGGTAGGAGTTGAAACAGTTTATGTCCAGGACGTAAGGGGTCTGTAAATCATTTATCTGGAATGGTATAGGGTCTCTGCTTGAGCAGGCAGTTGGACTAGAAGACCTCCAAGGTCTCTTCCTACTCTGGTTCTGTTAAGGCACCACTACCTCAGCTTCTTGGCAGGTTTTCAAAAGATAAAATGAGGTTTGAGATTCTATTAAGCTAGTTGAAACTCTTCATATGCTTTGAATCTTACCAAAGTTATTCAAAAGTGCTTATTAAGTTTAATACTTCTGACTGGGATTGGAGATTCAATTCAACAGCATGATTTAAAAGGCTCATCCTTTTCAGTGCTTTGTACTGTATGTAATGTTTATTTATGTCTGAAGAACAGAGGCTGTTCAATAGAACTTAACTGGTAGAGTAATGATTCAGATGAATCTGAGAGTGTCAGCTTTGGATCCACAATGTATTTGTATGAGCACATGTCTTTACAGTTACTAATGACACCAGGAGTGCCTCTTCTGATCTATTTATTATTATAAAAATGTTAGGTTCTAATATCATTTTATTAGGTCCCCAAAGCTTTCTGAGAAGTAATTCTATTTTTTTAAAATGGCAGGTAATGTATGGCCAATCTTTTTTTGTGTGTGTCCAGGGGAAACAAGTAATTGGGCTAGCCAACATTTTATCATGATATCAGAAATATATACTAGAGAGATGAAATGGAGTAATTAATTGCATATGGTATCTTATGATTTAACTATTGTATTAATATGATTGGGATGTTTAGAATTAATTGTGCATGGTAAAGGCACATTTTGTCTTTTAGAAACATTTGGGATCATTTCCATCTTGCAGTCGGTTACTTAGCAGTTGGTTACTTAATCCTTGAACTTACCTATTTATTTTCTCTGAAATATATTTTTACCATAGTTCTTGAGAAAAGTTTTTGTTTTTAGTCATATTCATTAAAAAGTGTTTTATAACTTGTCATGCCAATTGCAGTCATTATCTAAATTGCTAGCCCCAGGAAGCATTTAATTGAAAATACTCATGACATCTTCCAGGATTTCAAAAGTGCCCACTTGTCTCAAAAAGTTGGGATGTCCTGTACACTATTTTGGCAAGACTTTTCTGACTGGCATTTTTCATAATTATTTTCAACCTTCAGGATGACGAAATTGTTATTCCACTCACAGGTGATGGTGCTTTGAAGGGTGTTGTCATGATCAAAAGCAATAACTGTAACCTTATATGGTTGAGGATGAGCATCTTCTCCCTGATGACAATTAAAACAGCAGCATCTCACACACACAGAAACAAGGCCACAGAGAAGGAGGAGCCCACCAATGGCAACCACAAGCCTGGAAGTAAAGAACAAAGAAGAATCAGAACTCTTGCCATTTGTTCGTATAATGGAAAAACCTAACAAACTATAGTGTTATTATAAAACTGGAGATGCACAAAGTTCCCTAATAAACATTTTTTTTAGAATTTCTACAGAAGGCCTACACTAACTCCAGTACTGAATCAAATGGCTATCACTATCAACACTTCAGTTACATTAATTACTATCCATTTTTTCCCTCTCTCTCTCACTAATTCATTAGAGTACACACTGATAAAGAATATTCATGGCATACAAATAACTATATTAAAGTTTATCATAAGAGCAAATTGACCCACTAAACAGACACTTATTTTTCCTTCACCACCTCCCTCCTTCTTAGTGATCTTTGGCAAAAGAAAGACAATCTTATACAGAAGGTAAGAATCAAGGGGTCAAGAAAAATATACCTGTTTATAGAAGTCTGTTCTTTCCTCCGCTTGTGCTTTCCAGGTGCTCAGCTTCACATTTCCCAGGTTGCATCTCTGAGATACCAATCAGATCAACCTGCCTGATCTGCAGTTCTTTGCCCTAACTTGTTTCACTAACATTCCTAAGGCTCTGTCCTCCAATCCACCAAGCATTACTTCTTCTCTAGTTCTGATTTTCAAGAAACCTGAAAACAATGTACTATACAAGTATCCTTTACAACAATTCATTTAACAACTGTTTAAAGTATGATGGCACTGAAAAAATTACGTATGACCAGCTGTCACACTTAGAACTGTTGCAGCATTCCTGTGATCATACAATCAACATTTGGGTCTTGACAACCAGCATGAATCATGTGATCACCATTTGTAATCTTTCTGGGGTCTCTGACAATGTCAATGGAAGAAGCCAAATTCTCTTAATAACTGTATGATTTGCTTACTGACCATAGCAAAAAAGATATAAAGTTTGGCACAACTTAGTGACCATTCTGCTTAGTGGCAAATGTTCCAGTACCAATTGTCATAAGTTGAGGACTATTTGCACATTTTTTTTTTTTACAAATTGAGTAAACTCTGAAAGGAGAAAGGAAGGAAGGAAAGGAGGAAAACTGCCTTTAGGGGATGTCAGTGTTCTTCTTTTGCAAGGGCTTTGTGTGGTCAGTAGCTGTTGTGATGTGAGATCATGACAGGTGAGGGTCCCATCAGGTCAGGGTCTTGTGATGGGTCAGATGTGAGTCACCAGTGAGAGTCTTGTAATGGGTCTTGTAATGGGGAGGTTACATCAAGTGAGGGTCATTGGGAGGTGAAGTGCTGGGCTTGCATGGATTGGTTGAGGATCGGTGCTGTCTCTGGTTGGTTGTGTGATTGATTTGGATTCCGAGGCGGCTTGTAGACGGATTGTAGGTGTAAGGACCAGCCTCTCCCCCTCTTCAAAATTTAAGTATGAACTCTTGAAAGCTTGTATTTCAAAAGAAATCTTTTATTGAAGAGGGGTAAAGGAGGTCAAAATTCAAAGCAGGGTCTGGGTTCCCTCATGGCCTGCAACTAAGATAAAGGGAATTAAAACCCTTCCCTTCACTCTGATGTGAATTCCATCAGTCTGCAGGTATAAACATTTTATTATCTCTGAGAAAGCAGATAAGGAAAGGTTCCCAGGAGTCATCTTCTGGTGCTGCAATCTACATGGCCTCTTCTCCCCTTACATCTCTCGAAGAGGTAAGACTTTTCTAGTCATCTGGGGCACCCGGCAATGGTTATAAATCGTGTAAAAGGTTATACAAAGCCAATGTAAGAAATAGGATATTTAGGATACATGGAGAGGAAAAGAATTAAATGTATCAAATTTACACTTCCCCCTCTTTTCTTTCATCGAAAAATGGCAGATACACGGATCTGACATATTGCCCTCCCTAAAAAAATGGGAGTTCCACCTGAAAGACATAAAGCATGTATTAGGATGGTTTGTGACGGTGTTTTAGGTGGAATTTATTTAACAAAGTGGGGGCTTTTACATGTTTTTTGGCTACCCATTCATTTTGGAAGGAGGGTAGGAGTTTCCATGCTACTAAGTATTGTATGGAGCCATGGTGAGCGCATGAGTCAAAAATTACCCCTTCCACCATAATGGAGGTTGGAGGTGTGGGAAGAGGGGTCTGATCTTTGAAGTGATTTCTGGTTTGAGTAGGCTGAAGTGAAATATTGGATGAACCTGTCTAAGTGTCTTAGGGAGTAAGAGTTCTACAGCAGTGGGGTTGATGATTCTGGTGATGGGAAATGGGCCAATTAATTTTGGCCCCAGTTTCTTAGAAGGTTGTGATGTTTGTAGGAACTTTGTAGATAAGTATATGCGGTCTCAAACCTTGAATGGTTTGGGTTCAGTGCATTTTTTTGTCAGCTTGAGCTTTAAAAGCAGCTCTGGGCTCTTGTAGGGCTAGTCTGACCACTGGCCAAGTGGTTTGTAAATTGCTTATCCACTCCTTAAGGGAAGGGATGTCAGGTTCCTTGGTGGGTAGCTCTGGCATGGGGTTGAATTCTTGCCTTGTGGCTACTTGGAATAGTGTGAAACCAGTGCTACTGTGTACTGAGTTATTGTAAGCTACCTCAGCAAAAGGCAAAAGATCAGTCCAATTGTCCTGTTGGTAGTTTATAAAACATCTTAAATATTGTTCTAGTATGCCATTGGATCTCTCAGTCAAGCCATTCATCTGGGGGTGATGGGAGGAGGTTAACCCCTGGATGGAGCCTAATAAGTTTAAAAACACCTGCCAAAATTTTGAAGTGAATTGTACACCCGTCTGAGATAATCCATTGGGGAGCTCCATGGAGGCGATAAATATGTACTAAAAATATTTTTGCTAATGACTTGGCTGTTGGAATCTTCTGGCAGGACTTGTTTTGAAAATAGGTCAATTACAACCAAATTACAATGTTTCCTCTGCTTTCATGGAACTCCACTATAAAATCCATAGAAATCTTTCTCCAGGGTGCTGAAGATTCTGCTTGTAGCAGTCCTGGGGATTTTCCTTGTTGTCTTTTTGCAGCTGGCACAGATAGGGCAGCTAGCAATATAGCTCTCAATGTTTTTTTTTTTTTAAGGGATGGCCACCAGAATTGTCTTTTGATGAGGTGCAGGGTTTTTACAAATCCAAAATGTCCAGCTATTTTGGAGTTGTGGCATCATTTCATGAGGTCCAGTCTCTGGCTGGCAGGGACATAAAATTTGTTCTCTACCCAGGCTAGATTGTCTTTGAGTAAGCAAATATTTTTGTGAGCTTGGAGCCAGTCATCGTTAAGTGGTGCCTCCTTCAATTTGGAAGCCATTGCATTGTCAGCAAGTGGTTCTTTTTTTCCTTGTGTTCAGGTGATTACTTTGGCTGCTAGTTCAGTTGGTTGGAGTATGGGTTTAACAATTTCAATCTTTTTGCTGTTGTATTGGGGTTTCCTGGACAGGGCATCGGCCGAGAAGTTTTCTCCCCCTGGGAGATATTTGAGAGTGAAATTAAAGCATTTAAAATATTGCACCCAACATAGTTGTTTGGGGAAGTTTCTGTGGAGTTTTCAAGCTTCCAGATTTTTATGATCTGTCCAGACTTCGAAGGGGATTTTGTTCCCTTCTAAGAAATGTCTCCATGTGAGGAGGGCCTATCACATGGCATATGCCTTTTTCTCCCATATGGCCGATCTTTGCTCGTTTTCTGTCAATTTCTTGGAAGTATAATCACATGGTTGTAACTGTCCACATTCATTCTTTTGCAGTAGGATTGCTCCTACTGCTACATCACTGGCATCTGCTTGGATGACAAATGGTTGCTCTGGGTCTGGGTGTTTTAGGATAGATTCTGCTGAGAATAATTGTTTAAGTTTTTCGAATGCTGCTTGGCATTCCATTGTCCAGTTAAGGGGTTGCCTTTGTTTTGATTTCTTTCCCTCTTTCATTTTCAACAAGTTCATAATGGGGAGGCCAGAATGAACTGATGGTAAAAGTTCGCAAAACCCAAAAAACTTTGTAGTTGTTTGCAATTTTGGTGTGTCTCCCAATTGATAATGGCTTTTATTTTTTGTGGGTCCATCTCTATTCCCAGATATCTCTGTATCCCAGATAGTCAATTTTTTCTTGGTGGAACTCACATTTAGAGAGTTTTGCATATAGTTTGGCATTTTGGAGTTTCGTGAGAACTGCCCAGACTAATTTTATGTGCTCTTCTTTTGTTTTGGTGTAGATTAAAATGTCATTAAGATAAACTACGACCCCTTTGTACAAATGATCATGGAGCATCTCATTAATTAGTTGCATAAATACGGCAGGGGCTCCTTGTAGTCCAAAAGGAAGTACTTTAAACTGGTAGCACCCCAGTGGGGTGTTGAAAGCAGTCTTCCACTCACCCCCTTTCCTAATTCTGATGCGATAGTATGCCTCTCATAGATCTAACTTTGAAAAAAAATTCCTTTAGAGAGGTGGGCTAGCATGTCCCTCATGAGGGGGAATGGATACATATTTTCCATGCTGATGGTATTCAGATTTTGGAAATCCAGTGTTCAGCTACAGTGGGTGAGGGTTACTTTCCTGGCTCTTCCACCCCAGCTGTCTCTTTTTCTTACGCATTTAGACCATCTGGGCTTTGTGGAATTTTTGAAGAGAGCTTTGATGTCTTCAATGGGACATATGGAGCCGGTGTCAGGCTGGTTAGTTGTCGAGGTTTCTCCCCAGTACTCAGCTTCCCCTTGCTCACTGCTACATTTAGACATTGTTGCAGGGTTCCCTCAGTAGAGTAAAATTTTGGAAGAAAAAAAATTCTCTCTGTGTTGACCACTATTGCAGACCCTGCTTTATGTAAGGACCAGCCTCTCCTCCCTTCAAAATATAAGTAAGAACTCTTGAAAACTTTGTATTTCAAAAGGAATATTTTATTGAAGAGGGGTGAAGGTCAAAATTCAAAGCAGGGTCTGGGGTCCTTTATGGCATGCAATTAAGATAAAAGGAATTAGAACCCCTCCCCGCAGTCCAGTGTAGATTCCACCCATCCGCAGGTGTGAACATGCTATTATTCCACCATCTCTGCGAAAGCAGATAAGGAAAGGTTCCCAGGAGTTATATTCCAGTGCTGCAATCCACATGGGCCCTTCTCCCCTTACATCTTTCTAAAAGGTTAGACTTTTCCAGGCATCTGGGGTGCCAAGCAATGGTTATAAATCGTGTAAAAGGTTATACAAAGCCAATGTAAAAAATAGAATATTTAGGATACATGGAGAGGAAAAGAATTAAATGTATCAAATTCAACCCTGCTCCCTTTTATTCTATCGAAGAATGGCAGATATACAGATCTGACAGTAGGTCGATGTGTCTGTTGATGGAATTGTTCGTGGAATGCCAGGCCTTGATGAACTCATGAGCATAATGGTATGGCTGTTGATCATACCCACACCAGACCCATCACAAGACCCTAACCTGATGGGACCCTCATACCCATACCAGACGCATCACAAGACTCTAACCTGATGGGACCATCATAAGACCTACTGACCACATGAAGCCCTTATAAACAGAAGAATACTAACATCCCCTAAACTCTGCTGAAGATGTTACCTAGGCTGGTAATGAAATGTTTGTAAATCAGCCCACAAGCTTGGAAAACGAACCTTCACCCTCACACATATGCAAGTTATACATTCATCGCCTATCCTCTTGAATCTATTTGTAATACCTGAGTCTTAATTATATTAACATCATATAGAATTAGCATACTGATAAATCCTGGAGTGACATACCATTTCAGTATCAACTCATTCCTCTCAAAAGACACAAAAACCAATTTGCTAAGCTGGTGCAGTTAGTTATGTTTATCTGGCCTAGTCATAACTAGGACCTCGATGTTTCCTTTAAGCTCAGTCCTTCTCTGTGGTGCTGGTGAGAAATGTGTATTTGAGGGGTCCTTGATGCTCTCTGAGCTTGTTTGTTTTCTTGCAGACATTTCATTACCCAAGCTAGGTAATATCATTAGTGCATCTTTAAATATGTACTTACAGATAAAAATAAGAGCTTTCAAGAATCCAAAAAGGTAGATTCACCCTAAGGTAAATCCTAAGACACGTGTCTCTCTCAAACAGAGAGCAAGATTCCAGGATGCCACTCCCTTCCCCTATGCAACCTTAATTCCATATAATTCTCTCTTCAAGAGAGTTTACAAAGGGCTGCTACCTTCTATTCTTATTCTCATTGGTCCTGTCTCTGTATACAAAAGAAATGTCTCATTTCCTCAAGTATATTCCTCATGCATATGTGGAACCAGGTTAGAAGTATAAAAATAGCTTCTTCAATTCCAGATCCAAAAGGAAAGCCAATGTATCTTTTTTGAAGTTTGGCAGAAAAGGACAGAATGCTCATAATATTCTTTCTACTTGATATCTTATAGAACAGGGGTCCCCAACCGCCGGTCCGCGGACCGATACCGGTCCGCGGAACAACTCTTACCGGGCCGCTGGTTGCTGGGCGCTGCCATCTTTTTTTGGTAAAAAAGTGCTTCCGGTGAGCTTTTCCGGGTAGAAAGCTCACCGGAAGCACTTTTTCATCAAAAAAAGATGGCGGCGCCAGCGCTTCCGGTGAGCTTTTCCGGGTAGAAAGCCATTTCTACCCGAAAAAGCTCACCGGAAGCGCTGGCGCCGCCATCTTTTTTGACGAAAAAGTGCTTCCGGTGAGGTCACCGGAAGCACTTTTTCGTCAAAAAAAGATGACGGCGCCCAGTTGATGCCGGTACCGGGCCGTGGCGCCCAGCTGATGCCGGTACCGGGCCGCGGCGTCAAAAAGGTTGGGGATCCCTGTTATAGAAGACTATTGTTCTTAATTTTATAAACAAACTAGGAAAACATAAATTTAGCTTCTAAAATTCTTTCTTACCTTTCTGGGTCATATGACTAAGGAGAGGGATGAGTTTAAGTATAACATAGAATAACAGGGTTGGAAAGGATTTTGGAAGTCTTTTAGTCCAACCTGCTGCTCAAACAGAAGACCCTAGGCCATTCTGGACAAATGGTTGTCCAATCTCTTCTTGTAAACCTCCAGTGATGAAGCACCCACAATTTCTGGAGGCAAACTGTTCCACTGATTAATTGTATCTTTCTTAATGATCTTCTTGTCCTGCCCTGTGATGTTTTAGAGGATACGTTGACCACATTTTCTCTGTGACAGCCCTTCAAGTACTGGAAGACAGGTGTCATGTCAGTATTGGAAGGTGTCAGTACTGGAAGACAGGTGTCACCCCAATCCTTTTTTTTAGGCTATACATATCCAGTTGCCTTGATCATGTGTACGTGTGGAGAAGTATTCCTAATCTTCTCTTTGTTATGGTTTATGTTTGAGTTCATATTTGTATTGTTTCTATTATCATATTTTATATATTAAAAGTAAAGAAGTTCACTCAACAAATTCAAAGCATCATAAATGACATGGAATCTTTTCCCATTAACCTTACCAGATGTACCAGTGATGGACCCAGTTTGTGTTGGAACAGCTTTGGAAGTAAAAGGAGTTCAAGAAAATATTAATGTCAATAGAAATAGAGGGTTGATTTTTTTATTCTCACAATCAGATTATTATTTAGATGATTATTCTTGTCTTAATAACCCAGATATATGAAAAGATTCCACTGAAAGCATTTTGCTTTTGAGGGAATCTGTGAGATTTATTTATTTGTTTGTTTGTTTGTTTGTTTGTTTATTTATTGAATTTATATTGCCACCTATTCGCCCATGGTGACTCAAGGTGGCTTACAGAATGTAAAACTATATTTAAAATAAAAAGCAATAAAAACTAACAAAAAGAATCATATAAATTAATAAAGTACAATAGAACAAAATCTGAAAAAAAATCACCCCCAACTCCCCACCCCACTCCCTCCCTGATGACAATAGATCATATGAGCCATTTGATAGGCTCCATCCCACTCTGGGTTCCCCAGGCCTGGTGGCAGAACCAGGTCTTCAGTACCTTCTGGAAGAGTATTAGAGAGAGGGCCATTCTAATCTCTGGGGGAATGATGTTCCAGAGAGAGGGAGCCACCATGCCCTTCTTCTGGGTCCCACCAGGTATATCTCCCTCAGGGATGAGATCTGCAGCATTCCCTGCCTCCCCGCTCTAATGGGTCAGGTAGATGTGACCGACAAGAGAAGTTCCCTCAGGTAACCTGGTCCCAAGCCATGAAGGGCTTTAAAGGTGACAACCAGCACCTTGAACTGCACCCAGAAGCAAATGAGCAACCAATGCACCTCCTGCAGGAGAGGTGAAACATGTACACAAAGCTATGTGGACTGCTGCATTTTGCACCAACGGGAGCTTCTGGATGTTCTTCAAGGGCAGCCCCATGTAGAGAGTATTGCAATAAGCAAGATGGGAAGTGACTAGGGCATGAGTGACTGAGTAGGGACCAATGGTCCAGGAAAGGGTGTAACTGGTGCACAACCCGCAGTTGCGCAAAGGCCCTCTTGGCCATGACTGCCACCTGCTCTTTGAGCAGGAGTTGTGAGTCCAGGAAAACCCATAGATTACACACAGGGTCTGTTTGGGGTAGTGCCACCCCGTCTAAGACCAAAGATGGCAATTCTCCCTGAGTGAACGAATCTCAAACCCAGAGCCACTGGGTCTCACAAGGGTTTAGTTTCAACCCATTGCTCCCCATCCAGCCCCTAACAGCCTCCAGGCACTGCAAGAGGGAAGACACAGCAACACTTAACTCACCACGGGCCAAGACATAGAGCTGAGTATCATCAGGTGATACCTCAGATTCAAATGTTATATATTGTGTTGTTTATTTACTTCATGCTATCCAAATACATTTATTAGTAAATTAGAAGCAATCAAAATCCCAAATGATCTTGATTGTACAACTCTATCTCTTTTGAAAGCACCAATTCAGGGGTGGGATTGTACCGGTTCGGACCGGTTCTATAGAACCGGTTGTTGTGATTCTGTGCAGTTCGGAGAACCGGCAAATCATGCCCCTAACTGTCCCACCCCTTTCCATCTTCCCCTCTCTGCCCAGTCAGTCCTTATCGTGCATGCGCAACATCATGCACATGTCCGACATTGCTGACTGCATTCTCCCCCGCCCAGTCACTCCTTAAGATATTTATTTTCCCCCCCTCCTGACGATCAGCTGTTCCGACGATCAACTGTGCCAGGATCCCCCTTGCTGTCTTACACCCAGGAGGCTTCCCTGAGGTACAGGAGGCCCAAAAATGGAGCACAGGGGGTGCTCCATTTTTTGCCTTCCTAGGCCCCAAAATGACCCCCCCGGAGGCTTCTCTGAGGCCCAGGACGAAAAAAAAATTAACGGGGGGGGGGGTGCTGCAAAAAAAAACCTATGCCCACCCAGTCACATGGCCACACCCACCTAGCCACACCCACAGAACCGGTTGTTAAAAAATTTGAATCCCACCCCAAGCCAATTATCCAATGTACTCTGGAAACAGAACTTTTAAATAGGATTTTATGAGGTGATAAGCAGATTTAAGGGGAACGACACTCACTCCCATTCTCCATGAGTGATGGCAGGCCAAACACAGGACTTGGGCACTTGCACTTTTTTCCAGTGGCTTTCTTTATACTCATAGCATTAACTCCTACATTAGTTTCAATGTACTCCTGAGTGCCATCCAAAGCAACCAAAAGAGAAGTGCTCTTGCTAGTCCTTCTGTTATTTTTCCTAGGAAGTCTCCCTCTGAGTTCTGGTATTGAGTCTGTGTCTGCTCCAGCCATCCTGAGTGCTATGCCTCTTCAACTTTTTGCAAAGTTTACAGTGCATCCTCAGGAGACCAGAACATTCAGGCTGCTTGAATAGGCTGAATGCCAGAATTCAAAAACAGCTCAATGATATGTCTTTCTAACCTTCTAAAAGCATATTAGGTCAACATAAAAAATAAGAAAGCTAGACTCCCTCAAACTGTGTAATTCAATATTGGAAAATATTCAGAATAATATATTAGATATGTTCCTTGTGCAACAGTTGCATTTTAAAAGCCATACTTCTGCTGCTCAATCCTATGCATAATATATCTATCTTGATTTTAAAATTCTATCCCCACTTTCAGATGTGTACTTTCATTTCCAAATATAATCTGATACCCAGTAGCATCAATAAGAAAGGTGTGTGTGTGTGTGAGAGGAGATGTGCTATGAAGAAATCCTATTAAAATGTTCTGTTTCCAGAATATATTGGACAATTAGCTGGTTTCAAGAGAGGTGAAGGTTATACAGTGCATAGGACTACAGAAAACCTAAAAATATTTAATGTGACAATTTTATGAATAATTATTAACATAAGAAATGAATGGACGTTTTCAAAAAGGTTGGGTGTGGATATCTGTACTATTCTGAATATTCAAAGTCCTTGATGTTGGTGACTAAAGTTGGTGCCCTTTAGTATTTTCAACCAGGTTTAAAATATAAATCACATCTTCTTGAGAAGAATCTAATGATCCTACAAGTCTCATACTTAGGATCAATATTTTGATATGCTTGTGTGTGTGTGTATGTGTGAGCATTTTGCACAGATGTCTTCTTTAACTATCTTCTTGGAGTGAGGAGGCAATTGCTCTAATAATGTTCTTGTGTACCAGTCCAATAAAACTTCATGAAGTGACTGAGAGTGGTCTAATTTTTTCCATTCTTTAATTTTTTTGTAATCCATAGGCACTTCTTTCTATTGCTTAAAGAATAAAGCCATGCATCTGCTCCAAGTCTATCCAGGAACTGCAGACAGCGGACAACTTTAAGTCTTGTACCACTTGAGATATGTGGGGCTTTTTCAGTTGGAAAAATAAGGTTAGCAACCTTACAGATTTATAATATTATAAAAGTATAATGATCACCATACCAAATATGTTACTTGGTGGAGGTAAAGGAGGGACATAATTCTATTTTCTTACTCGCAATGAATTGTTTAAAAATACATTTTTGAAGTTCTCAGTTCAGCTCATTCCTAAAATTATTTATAGTCTTTTCCCAAACATCTATTCCATCCAAAAACTGAAGCAGTTCTTATCCATATATCTTAGATAGCTTATTGAAGTTATAAGAAATTGATGATACTCTGCATATACTCACAGATCATTGTTTGTACAATTCTCTTGCAGTTTCACCTGTGGAATCTTAAAAGAGAAAAGAATCAAAACAATGTCAAAATAGTCTACTTTCTTGCATAGAAATCATAGGATCATAGGGCTGGAAAGGATCTTGGTATTTCCTAATCCATGCCACTGCCAATCGTAGAAGATTTTTATCATCCTCTGGATAAATAGTTCTTCAATCTTTTCCTGAAGACCTGCAGCATCCATGACTTCAGGAGGCAAGCTGTTCTTTTTTTCATCCTCACAGTTAAAGTTACCATTTTCTTGAACTGGTATAATATTCATAATTGTTTTCCTATCCTCATATAATTAAATATTTGACTTTTTTTCTTGCTGTTTAGCATAAGCAAGATAGGTTTTCTACATTTTATGCTACAAATCTACGTCCTAAATCAGAATTCATTTCCTTTTGATTTTCCATCTCTTTTTATTTGTTACTTTGTAATCTAATGCATCTTACCTGAGCCAGACATGCCAAAGCCGAGATGGTTGCCACTTGGGTACACTTGCCCATCATACGACGTGATTTTTCTTTTCCTTACCAAAAGTGGTGTTGCCACAGTCTGTAGATCAAGCAAATCAGCTATGAAATAGGCTTAAGACACAATACTTTGCTTTTTTAGTCTGTAAGTTTCTGAAAGTAGTACAGTATTTTTTATTAACAGACCTTCACAAAATGTACATGCTTTCTTGGTGTCTGTTCATATTTACCTCAGAAGCTGAATGGAAAAACCACAAAGTTGAAGAGGGAGCCAAATCACATTGTCCTTCAATGTTCCTGCTTATTTCTAATAGGTTTTTTTCTCCTGCCTCTGCCTCCTCTTTGAATACAGAGGTCTAGTTTACAATGAAGGTGGTAGAGTAGTGCCTCTTTCTTATACTTTTTACCAGAGAATGCTCTTTCAAGGACAGGCTTTTATATTTGCAAAATAATTCAAAAACTACAATATTCTTATGAGATCTACCTAGTCATCCATGCTGCCAATGTCCAATGAAGTGCTAAAATGTTAATCTGTAATAAACTGCTGCCATTTCAGTGATTGGCCTCATATAATTAATGTAATTTTTTTTTCAAATTAGTTATTTTCCCTCAAGCTGCTTAAACAGAATCTTGTAATAACCTGCTGTTTTCCATGGATATAACCACCATGATTGCAGTTAAATTTCCTGTGATTTGTTGTTTATATATGTGCATGTATTGATCTGGAAATATATGTACTACATCCCATTATTGAAGAAATTGAAATATTTCTCAATAATCATTCACATTTTAATCAGGTTTATAGTTAACAATTTCCTTTGGGGCATGTAATACCTGTTCCGTGAAAGGCAAGTCAGTGCTGTATCAGAAAATTTGCTTGTGCTCAATTAGAACTATGTTGCATCAGCAGTTAAGCTGGTGAATCATTACTCTGACATAGTTTTCAAAGGCAGCAAGCAGAACCAATGGATTCTGGAGCACAGCAACCATTCTCAATTAGAGGTTTTTTTTTTAACAGGCATCTACAAACCTCATAGTGATTCATGCACCAAGCAGCATGTTTGTCAGATCTGTGTATCTGCCATTCTTCGATGGAAGAAAAGAGGGGGGGGGG